TTCTTAGATTCTTCTACTGAAAATCAATGCTGACTTACACACTTAGAGCTGTAATTCCACAACATCCCCACTATTCCTGTAGCTTATTTCTAAATACCTAGTAGACAGTTCAACTTTTATGTCCCACCATAAGTGTAAACACAAACTAGAAAAGAATTAAGTGACATAATTAAAAACTAAACTCTAACGATGCACATGGGAAAAGACTTAGAATCTGCTTCCAAGATGGCTCACTTACATGGCTATTGACATAGGGTCTCATTTCCTTGCCACATGAGCCTCTCCATAGGGACACTTAAGTGTCTTTAGGATATGGCAGCTGGCTCCCCATAGAACAAGTTATGCAAGAGCCCAAGATGAAAGCCATGTTTTTTATGATCTAGTCTCTGAAAAGGCAAACTCCCTCATTTTCACAATATCATCTGGGTTACACAAGTCAGCCCTATTCAGTATTGGAGGAGACTCCAGAAAGCGGGGCTCATTTGGGGCCATCTTGGAGGCTAACTATGACAGAGATTGATCCTTTGAAATTATTGAGGCTTTTAAAATGGCTTAATACATAGTTGGTCTTTGTAAATATTCCATGTATATAGTACAGAATGTGAGACAGCAATTTGTTGCATGGCAATAAATAACTAATACAACCTCCTGTAAGTTAGCTATAAGATGATGATATGTCATAATGTCTTGCTACTCAGGGTGTGTCCATGGGCTAGCAGCATCAGGATCACCTGGTAGCCTGTTAGAAATAAAAGCCTCATTCTCCATCCTAGATTTGAATCATAATCTGCATTTTAACAAGATCCTTCTACATTTAAGTTTGAACAGCACTAACCTAGAAAATCCTTCAATCACCTAAAAATATAATTACTTACTCTTTTAACTTTTATTTCACATAAGAATAGACTTCTGCTGCCAGTTAGGGAATAGTAAGCTATAAGAGAACATTACTCCCAGTCTAATTAAAAAAAAAACAAACCTCAAAATAATCTACAAAATCATAATTTTTTATGAGTCCATCTGAGAGCTAAAACTGCAAGACAACTGAAGGAACTGAATTCTAAACTGTGACAGGGACCTATCAGGAGAGATGGAATATGTGGACTGTTTTAATGGAACATGTGAACTGTTTTACCATTGGCAGAGCATGGAAGAAGTAGTAGTCATGAAGAAGGTAAGAAAAAAAACTACTCAAAATTTAACAAATTCTTAAAAGCCAAGTGTAAGCTAGCAAGGTAAGTTAGCATCCTTGCCATTCCCAGGCAGGAAAAAGTCTTCATCCACTAGCCAGTATTTTTCCATGAACCTCCATGCTATGCTCCAGAGAAAGACTGTGGGCAGTGCAGAAGACCTAAAAGAGACACCCTTGGAAATGAAGATAGATATATAGAATCTAGCAAGACAAACCTCATCCATACTGCTGGCCCTGAATGAGCATAAGGTGAGATCAGGTATCCCTGTGGGACAGGCACACAACCTGTCTATATTCTGGAAAAAGCTCCAAAATTAAGCAAAAGCTGTCTGCTACTGAGAGACAAAATACCCTACCCACCTCAGTCCTAGGCAAAGGATGGCTGCTGCTAGAAGAGAAGTACAAAACCAAGTATCCTCATACTTCAATGACACTAGGCAATGTGCCATGTGTCATTAGGAGAAGGGCAGAAAATCTGCTCATGCCCAGATCCCCCAATGACACAAAGCACAAATCTGCTACACTGAGAAAAGAAATGGTCACTCACTTGTACCTAAGACATCCCACTGATATTAGCCAGTTTATCTACCATAATGGGAATAAGCAGGAAGCTGGCCTGAGCTCCGGAACAGTGCTGTCCAGTAGGACTTTCTATAATAACAGAAATATCCTATATCTATGCTGTCCAATATACCAACCAGTAGCCACATGTAGATAATTGGCTAGTGATGAATGCAGCTCTAGACTCCACTCTGAATAGACGGGAGAAACTGTCTGCTCCTGGAGGAGGCAAGAAAAAACCCACTCATGAGTCAGAGGCATTCATACGCCTGCTAAGACTAAAATGGGAACAGAAGAACTAAAAAACCCACCTTAAAAAGCCTTGTACCTCCCTAGATGGTTTGGCTCAGTGGATAGAGCATAGAAGATAGAAAGGTCTGGGGTTCAATTCCAGTCAAGGGCACATGCCCAGGTTACAGGCCACTAGGGGGCATACAGGAGGCAGTCGATCAATGATTCTCATCATTGATGTTTCTCTCTCTTCCTTCCTCTCTGAAATCAAGAAAAAAATATATATATTTTAAAAAAGGCAGAGTAGCTGTCATTTAAAAAAAAAAAAAAAGCCATGCACCAAGTAATAAGCAGTAACAATCTATTGCTATTGGAGTGGCAAGAGCATGAAAAGAAATCTCCAAACTCCCCTCCAGCCCCCAAATGTGGCACAAGCTGAAAGATAAAGGTGAAGTGGAAACACTGAGAAAAATCATCTGATACTCCAGTTCTCACACTAAGCACAAAGTATTGGCAGTCCATCTCTGTAGGGATCTGAAGCCTGTGGTATGCTGAAGGTAACTATGACAATCACAAAACCCAATCCCAGTTCAATTATTAACTAGATTGACCAATACCTGTTCACACTAACAATCTAATAAAAGTAGAGGCAATGCTTACTTCTGGGCAGAAATATTATTTACCTTAGTCCCTACCAATATCTTACACTGACATTCAATCCAAAATTATGAAACATACACACACAAAAAAAGTCAACAAAACCAGACCCAGAGATGGACCAGATATTGAAATTATTGGACAGATACCACAACTATGACTAATATATTTATAGATCTAGTGGGAAATTTTAGCAGAGAGATGGAGAATATTTTTTAAAGGTAAGTACAAACGCTAGAAATAAAAGGTATGACAAATTCTTTGTCAGGCTTATCAGCAGAATGAACACAACAGCGGAAAAGTGAACCTGTATAAAGAGCAATAAAAATTATCCAAACTGAAATAAAGGGAGAAAAAATAGAAAAAGGGGCACAGCAACTAATAGGTGAGACAACAGCAAATGGTCTAAAATATTTTTACTTAGCGCCTCAGAAGTAGGAAGTGAGCCAAAAGAAATATTTGAAGAGACAATGAGCAAAATTTTTCTAAACGTAAGAAGAAAAACCAACCACAGATCCACAAACTTCTGAAAAACCAAAGTAGGATAAAAATAAAGAAAAACACAACTAAGTACGTCATAGGCAAACTACTGAAAAGTAGTGATAATGCAAAGAATCCTAGAGGGTAAATAACTGGAGTAGGTTCCACCACATCTCGAGGAGGCACTGCTGGGGCACAGAGGCTCTGCCAGGCATTGATTTTGATGGGTTCCAGAAATAGGGAGGACAGGATGGAGGAGTTGTGGGACTGATGGCCTGCTGGGAACAGGACTTCTATAAGGACAAATATGTCTGGAAGGCTATGGTCCAAGGCCATTTTTGCTGGCTATAAGCGGGGTCTCTGGAACCAGAGGGAGCACGCAGCTCTTCTTAAAATTGAAGGTGTTTATGCTCGAGATGAAACAGAATTCTATCTAGGCAAGAGATGTGCTTATGTGTAGTACAAAGCAAAGAACACAGTGACTCCTGGTGGCAAACCAAACCAAACCAGAGTAATCTGAGGAAAGGTAACTTGTGCTCATGGAAACAGTGGAATGGTTCGTGCTAAATTCCGAAGCAACCTTCCTGCTAAGGCTACTCGACACAGAATCCGTGTAATGCTGTACCCCTCAAGGATTTAAACTTACTAAAAATAAATAAAATGGATTTGTTTTCCTGTGGGGGGGGAAAAGAAAAGATTCCTAAAGACAGACAGATAGCTAATAAAGAAACATAACAGAGGAACAAAGATAAGAATGCAGTAGACTTCTCATTAGAAACTAAAGACAAGAGAACAACATCTTTAAAGTACAGTAGTTCCCCCTTATCTGTGGTTTTACTTTCCACAGTTTCAGTTACTTGCAGTTAACTGCAGTCCAAAAATATTGTTTCCTCAACCATTGATATCATCTGCTCTTGACATCAAACTATCAAGATTATCGTGGTTCAATGATCCAGGATCACCTAAAGCAGGTGATTCTTCTCTGATATATGGTCAGAAGGTCAATAGTAGCCTACCACTAAGTCACAATGCCTACACCATTTATCTCACTTTATCTAATCCTGTAGGCATTTCATTCACAAAAATAAGAGTGATTACAGTAGAGTAAGATATTTCAAGAGAGAAAAAGAGAGGCCATACTCACATAACTTTTATTACAATATATTGTTGCAATTGTTCTATTTTATTATCGGTTATTGTTATAATCTATTACTGTGTCAGATAGGACATCAGGATTAGTCAAGTTTTTCTGTAAAAGTCCAGATAATAAATGAAATGGTATAATATTATTTGAAGGTAGAATGTGATAAAGATATATATAGAGATACATGTATGTATATACCTATATATACATACATCTCTCTCTCTCTCCATACACACACACACACACACACACACACTGAAAATTATATAATAAATTACTAAAAAAATTTAAGTAATAGCTAATAAGCCAATAGTAGAGATAAAATTGAATCATAAAAAAATATTCAATCCAAAAGGCAGAAAAGTGGAAAAGGGGAATAAAAACAGACAGCAAATAGAAAACAAATAGCACAGCAATAGATTTTAATTCAACCATATCAACTGCGTTACTATACATGGTCTACATTCCAATTTTAAGGCAACGGTTGCAAGACTACATAAATAAGAATAATATACTGATAGTGATAGAAACACTATAGAAACAGAAAACTGGACCATTAAAAACACTAATTTATGTACCTATGGTAGACTGAAAGCAAATGATGAATATAATTAAGATCAAGCTGAAGTAATCTGACTTGGCTATTTTTGTCTTCCTTTGATTTCCCCATATTTTAAGGTCTCAATGTTAGCTCTCCCCAACCTCCCCAAATATAGCAATGTTCATAATACTGACCTTGCCATGGCTTCTTTCCACTTTCTGAAAACATTTATTCAGGGACAGATTATGTCGAACAGAATTCTTCCAGCCTGTTGGTGCAGTAGCAAAATATGGGAAGCGGTCCAGAATCCAGCTATAAATTTCTTTGACAGGCAGACATTTATTTGGAGAATGCTCTATAGCCATATAAATGAGAAGACTAAAAGAGTATGGGGGCTTTGAAGTTGCTGATTTTTTTTCTGGGTTCTGGTAGCAAGATGGTCCTAATGATGGCATATCATCTCCCTCTATGTCATACAAAGGACTAACAATTGGAAGACCCTCACTTCCAAAGCTGAAGTTTGTTAGAAGATTAGTACTTTCATGAAGCCAGTTCAAGTTTGTGAGCTCATCATCTGCTGATTCACAGTCCATTAGAGTGGCCTTTGGCCTGGCAGCATCAACAGCTTCAGGCAAGCTTCCCATTTTGTAAATCTGGCTTAATCCTGCAACCTTTTCAGCTCCTGGAGTTTCAGCTCTCTTTTCTGGAGTCATTCCAATTATTGGACCCATTTACTCTTATAGTTCTGCAACAAAGGAAATAATTATCAATCAATGTAATGCTTAAGATTCTTAGGCTCGTGAAAAAATAGAATGCATATTTAAATATCCCCAAATCAGAGAAATTCTGCAATTATCCCACATAATATTTAAGCATAGTATTTATATAATTAAAATTTACAATATGAGAAAGAGAATTTCATATTTTTTGATATGGCTATAAATAATGCAGCATTATAATACCATATTGTATGAGTGATATAAACAAAATTAAATAATGTATTTTGAGTACTTAAACAATATTCCAAATAAACCCTTTCCTGAAATCTAAAATATAAAGAGAGAAACCATTTCTCATATTTTTACATTATATAATACTATAACTATATTTCTTATTCATCATCAGTAAAATTATATTTATTATGTTATTTCTTTTGTAAATTCCAGTGTTTTTACATCTGCATTCTATATAATCTCATCAAGTACTGAGACTGTAAGGGTGACATTCTCTTAATAAAGTTTGAAATGTTACTATATTTTCAAAGAGAAAAAAACATTTCTAAACTATTTGTTAGTATTTCTATTTTCTCAAATGACTTCTCTTTTGCTTTTTAAACACACTTCAACTCAAAACCCCTATCATGGGAGAATAACTGACCAAAGAAGAAAGTGATAGAGCTAAAGTGCTATTTAATTTATTTAATGATTCAGAAAAGTACCTCATTTCTGAATTCAGTGAAAAAACTTCTATGTTTTCCATCAGTCTAGTAGTCAATATACTTATGCTTATATAACTGAAAGATAAGTATCTCCAAAGTTTTCTTTTACTTAGAATATAGCTGGCAGGTTATCCCAAGAATTATGAAAATTGGTCAATTTTAGATGTAGAGCAGTATTTGAATTCTGGTAGCTACTAGTAGATATAGTCTTAGAGAACTCCATTTTCAATAGCAGTAGTTAATAATTTGGGAGTCAGCTATTTATTATATCTCAAGTAACCATCAGTTAAACCCCATAATGTAGGCACTATTATTAACCCAATTTTATAGATAAGGAAAATGATTCAGAGAGGTTAAACATCCTCTTTGAGGTTGTCTGGCTAGCAATTGGATATGCCAGAATTTAAACCCAGCAGACTGACTTCAGAACCACTACATTATCCTGGTGACAGTATATATACACCATTTTTTATTTTATCATTGTTCTCTCTATAACCAGTTCTTATCTCTCTCACATACACCTATATCTATAACTTCACACACCAAGACACTGTAAAAAGGAAAAGATCAAACTATAATTAATTTGATGTCTATTTCAATTAGTAATGAAAACCACGCACACATAAACATATGCACATGTGCATGCAGTAAGTCTTCTACCCATAGAAAAACTTTAAAACTGTGATGGATGAGAATTAATTTGTTGAAGAAAGTCTTGTTTCCTTTAAAAAATATATCTTAGTATTTACTGTCCAAAGAATGAAATGACTAATTTCTAATGGTCCACTTTTGCCTTTTCACCTATATCTCCCTCCATTTATCTTCAATTACATATAAAAATTAGAGAGTACCAAATAGCACTGACTAACATTTACTGAGATTTTACTATATTACAGACACTATGCTATGGGCTTTGAAATGCATCATCTCTACTTACTCCTCCCTACTACTTAGCTCTATGTATCATCCTTTCTTTTTGACTGTGAATTCCATAAGGGGCAAGAGTCTTTTACTTTTGTATTCTTAATGAATCTTAACAAAATGTTGGGCATGAGTAAGCAATCAAACCATAATTATTTAAAACTGAAATTAACCAATAATCAATATACATGTCTATTCTGGACCAAGTGCTATGCTATCTACCTTTAAGAGTTATTTATTTTTGAAACAAATTCTTAATGCTAAGAAACATGCTCACTGGTAACAATCAGAAAATTGAAATTCATTGTTTATAAATAAGGAAATGGAAATGAAATAAGGCATTTGCCTAAGTTCTAAAGCTAATAAAAAGGAGAGCCAAAATTATAAACCAGGCTGAGTTCAATACTCAAGTTTTTTGTCCATTAAAGTACACTCGATCTCTTAAGGAATTTATATTTTAGCAACACTATCTAAAACAAATAGATACTGTTGACAGATATGAGGATATATAGTGACAGAAACTAATTTAGATGGTTGCAAATATATGTTATTTCTCTGACTTACAAGTTTAGAATAAAATCTTATTATTTGAAGCTATAAAGTAATATTATGTCATCAAATATGTCAAAGATTACAGCCAAGCAAAGTTAAAAAATCAAGTACTGGCAGTGAAAGGCTAATATGCTCTTAGGTTTGAACTGTCACTGTATTTTCAAGGAGAGAAGAGGAATGTTTCTGAACTATCATTTCAGAATACTCTTCAACACCATTCACTTAGAACACTAAGTCTATCACAGTAAATAGGCAAATAATCTTTTTTCACAAATATTTATATACAAATAAGTATATAAATAGAAAATAAATGTAGAAAATATTCAACTCCACTGATCACAGGAATGCAAAGCAAACAAAATGTGATATTAAATATGATAATTTAATACAGTACCTAGTATGCAATAGGCATAAATACTAGTAGTAATAAAAGTAATAGTATCTATTTTTGCCCAAATTAGCAATGGTTTACAAATATATACAATTTGGGGCAAGGGCCTCAGGCCATTTTGGACAGCCACCTGGCAATATACACCTAGAATCATTAAAAATGTCCTATTCCTTGACCCAGTAATTCCACTTATGAGTCACTTCAGTGAAATAATCATATGTAAGGTAAAAGATCCTCTCTTCTCTTTCTTCCTCTCTCTTACACAACACACACACAGATGTCCATCCAAGAATTACGAAAGATAATAGAAACTATAAACAATTTACATTTCTTATTATAGAGTAACTAGTAACCTGGTGCAAGGATTTGTGCACATTGAAAGGAAATTAATTAGAAGGTGGGCAGTGGGATGGGACTGGGCAAGACATGCCCTGGAGCCAACCTCCCTCGGTCCCTCCCTGGCCTGTCGCACCTGGGGTGATACCGTGGCTTGAAGGGTGTCTGCAGAGTGAGTGGGATCCCTCCGGCAGGTGGGGTCCCTTGGCCTGGCCTGCAGAAATCGGGCTGAAACTGGCTCTCTGACATCCCCCGAGGGGTCCTAGAGTGTGAGAGGGCACTCTGAAAAGTTGTTGTTGTATAGGGTGTGGAACGCAAATGCAAGTGTGCAGTAAACTAGGTTCGAGGCCGACAGTGTCCCAACAACAACATAACCCATGCCCAGCCAAAGGTGGATTCGCGTGGCCCCATGAAGTATTGGGCTCCCTCCTCTCTGGTTTCGGGGTGCGTCACCCGAGAACCACCACTGCCAAGTCACTGCAGCTCAGCAGCTCCTGCATTGAGCACCTGCTCCCTGGTGGTCAGTGTGCATCATAGCTACCGATCAGACAGACACTTATATTAGCCTTTTATATATATAGATACCTAAGAAAAATAAAGTACACCTATTCAATCTAATATTTATTTAGTAGTCATTAAACATTACTGTCTTAAAGACTACACGGGAAACAAAAAAGCTTTGTTAAAACTAGTTTTAAAAAAAGCCTAATAACAACTCCATGAAGAAAGTGTATAGATTGGACTTCAGTATCAAATAGATTTAGATTTGAAGTCTGAAAAAACAACAACAAAAAAACGGTAAAAAGAAAAACAAACAAACAAATATACAAAAAGCTTAGTGTAGCCCAGCCAGAGTGGTTCAGTGGTTGAGCGCCAACCAATAAACCTGGAGGTCAGGGTTCGATTCCTGGTCAGGGCGCATGCTTCGGTTACAAGCTCGAACCCCAGTGTGGGGCGTGCAGGAGGCAACCAGTGATTCTTTATCATTGATGTTTCTCTCTCTCTCTCTCTCTCTCTCTCTCTCTCTCTCTATCTCCCTCTC